AAAGTGTATGGATATGGATGCCTTCCTAGAGATCACACTTTACTTCTTCTTCTTCTTCGTCTTCGTCTTCGTCTTCATCTTTGTCTTCTTCTTCTTCTTCTTTTTTCTCTGTGACATACTTAAGAGGGACTTTCCTTTTTACCAGGGGTTCATGTGAAATATTTATGAAGTATGATAATTTTTATAACCTGTATCACATTATGAAGCTTGTAACAAAGAAGAAGAGGAAAGGGTAGTCAGTCACTTTAGAGACTCAAGGAGCTGCAATAATCTCTCTTCCCAGCATATTGATAGTCACTATAGAAATGAAATTAGTTACAATTAAAAGGTATGTCTAAGCAGAAGGAAATAAAGTTTTGACACTAGTCTATAAACTTTTGAGAGTTTTTTGCTTTGGTACTTGATCCTAGTATAAACAATGTTTGTGTCCTTTAATGGCGATGCTTGCGATTGTCATCTGACACAAATGCAAATATCTGTGATGTGGGAGAGAAATGATTACAAATATCTATACCTTGAAGGGCATGCCAAGGGCAAGTCACAACTATCACAGGGATCCCAGACATGTACTGTTCCTGGGTCCCACCAGAAAGGCACACAACAAATTTGTTTCAGAACTCCTAGTGCCCTAGAGTGGAAGAGGCCAAAATTGTGGAAGGAATTTCATACAGAAGCACTAGGGAATCTAGTGATAGTAAAGAATGGGTTGTGGATGACCACATATTCAAATTATTTTATGAAAAGTGTTTCTCATGGCAGGCATTGGTTAGATCATTCCTATGAAGATCAAATATTGAGGTCTCTCCTCAGCTCAGGTACATGTTAACTCTGAGAAGAGGCAGCTCCTGCTGTTAAGTCCAGACGAAGGGCTAGGAATGCAAAGAATGGTAGATGCTGTTAGGACATGCTCCAACTTTTAAGAAGGTCTGTCTCAGTACTTCAGGCAGCATATGGATATTGAATCACTAGAGGTCATTTCCATCACATTCTCTGGATACAAGTCTATCAGAAAGGAAAAGTATAACAACAAAAATCCTTGCTCTCTACTAGATTTTACCAAGTAAAAGTCCCCAAAGTCCCCAATTTGGAGAAATTTTATTTTCAGAACACCTGAGAGAAAGAAGTCACAGAAGGTTTTGTCATGTCTTGGATTGTGCTCGGAGTAAGTGATATAAAATAAGGCTGTAAGGTGTTTGACCCTTTAGGAAAATATTTTGCTTGTTTAAATCAAAAATTTGTGAAAACACAGAAAACATAATGCATAAATTGCATATGCCCTGAGTTCACTGGCCTGTACATCTTAATCACAGAGGTGCACTAAAAAAATCACAAATTATATGGCTGTGAGTAGACCATGGTACTCTGAATAGACTTATTAATAAATTGTTATAATACATCTAATGCAGAATGCATTTATGAAAAGCTGTGATTTCAGCACAGGATTTGAACAAAAATATAATTAAATATGTATGACTAATGAGAACAAAGAAAATCTTTTTTTTTTCCAAAATGTTTTATTATTTTGACAGCATGCTTGAAGGTGGTGCTTTCTAAATCTTCTTCACAGCATGATATATGTAGAAAATGATAAACACTGTTATGGGACACAAAAGTAATTGGACAGGCTGCTCAAGCAAGAAGTTAGTCAGATGAAGTGACTCCAAAGCCACAGGGCACATCCAACACTGAGGCGTGAGTAAGCAGCACTCCTGATTCTTCTCTGGCATGGCAGCCTGCACTGGCACACTGATTACATAGCTCTACCCCAGGTATTTCAGGGTGCTGCTATCATCTTGAAAGTAAGCTCATGGGACATGATTTAATTGGAAGGCTAGTTTACTTAGGTTTCAAATTATTTTTTATATTAATCTATAATACTTTCTCTTGTGATATTTTTCTTGAATCAGAAGTGCCCCCCTACCTTTTCATTCAATATTTTATTTGCATCTTTTCTCTATTTTTCTGGGTTCATCTTGCCGTATTAATCTAACTTAGCTAACCTTTTCAAAGATTCAGCTTTTGGTTGTTCAATTTTCTACACTTTTCATTGATCTTTACCATTACCTTTATTGTTTAATTTCTTATTATTTCTTTGTGCTTTAAAAGAAAATTTTTTTTACTTGAAAATGTGGCTCATTTTAAAAGTCATTAAGGTATGATGAATATATAGTAAATCACCCTTATTTGTGTAAAAGTCTGTAGGTTTTGATAAATGCATATAGTTGTGTAACTATGACCACAATCAAGTTATAGACTAATTCCATCACCCTCAAAATTCTCAGGTACTTCTTTGTAGTTGACATTTTTTCCACTCAATCTCTGGCAACAATTGATGTAAATGCCATCTACCTTTATTGTTTTATCATTTTTCAGATTGTCGTATAAATGGCAGCACATAGTAGGTAAGCTTTTGGATATGACTTCTTTCACTTAGCATAATTAAATTATAACAAACTAGCAAATAATAAACAAGACAGGGCATTGTATGGAACAATGAAATAATATAGATGTTTAAAGTCCCTTTCTCTGAGATTTAAAAAACTGTGCTAACTAGCTGGTTGACACAATTGGTTTTAAATGGGCCTTGGAGGAAATGAAATATTTAGGTACTGGACGGCATGAAGAAAATAGAATTAAAATTCAATTTTGGTAAGTTGCTGGTGGACTTTGGTAAAATTGGAGTGACATAAAGTAATTTCAACAAAAAAGAGACATGAAACCTAACTTAGCCGTCAGCTACTGGTTCTATAATTCCAATCTGAAAGTATTTTAAGGCCTTATGCACACATAACTAAGTCACTTAACTTGGATTTATTTAAGTGTATATCAATGTAACTTGAAAGTTGAGACAGTCTTAAGAAAAATTAAACAAGTTTCTATATGGTTTTAAAATTATTTTGACATTGAGAGCACATCTGTGATAAAATGTTTAAAGCTTTAGTATTAATACTTTCTTTAGATCACTTTTTAAAATTTTTTAAATTTTTAACTATTATGAATACATTGCATTCTATAACCCTACTGACCTTGTCATTATCCACAAAAATACCTGATTGGAGCATCTTACAGTACCCCTAAAAGGCCTATCTATTACTTTTACTAGCAGGCCTTTAGTAAAGTAGCTTTTAGTAAATATTATAACTTAGTTTTTAAAAAAGAATTTGTTTATTAGAGCAATTTTGTCACAGCAAAATTCATCAGGACATACAGAGAGTTTTTATATACCTCCTGTTCCCCTCAATGCCTAACCCTTCCCACCATCAACATCCCTCACCAGAGTGGTGGATGTGACAATCCATGAACCTATATTGACACATTATTTTTACCCAAAGTACATGATTTACAGTAGGGCTCACTCTTGATGCTGTATATCCTGTAGGTTTGAACAAATATATAATGACATATATACATCAGTTTATTATCATACAGAGTACTTTCACTGCCCTAAAAATCTTCTGTGTTCCACCTATTTATCCTTCCTTCCCCCAACCTGAGATAACCATTGTCTTCATGATTTTGCCTTCTCCAGAATGTCATACAGTTGAAGTTACACAGTATGTAGACTTTTCACATTGGCTTCTTTTTTATTTCTTAGTAAGATAAATTTAATGTTTCTTATCTTACCTTTTCATGGCATAATAGAACATTTTTTTTCAGCACTGAATAATATTGCATCATATGGTCATATCACTGTTTATTTTTTTATCTCAGCAAATTACAGGGGTACAAATATTTAGGTTATATATATATTACCTTTGCCTGACCAGAGTCAGAGCTTATGTGTTCATCTCCCAGACAGTGCACACTGCACCCATTAGGTCTGAGTATACCCATCTCATCCTCCCCCGTCCCACCTGCCCAACACCTGGTGGATGTTATTACTATATATGCACATAAGTGTTGACCCATTAATACCAATTTTATAGACTAATGGCCAAAAACATATGAAAAAATGCTCAACATGTCTAATCATCAGGGCCATGTGAATCAAAACTACAATGAGATATCACTTAAGTCCACTGAGAATGGCTTTTATCAAAAAGTCTCCAAATCATAAATGTTGGCATGGATGTGGAGAGATAGGAACACTCATACATGGCTGGTGGGACTACAAACTAATACAACTGCTGTGGAAACTAATATGGAAGAGATACCTCAAAGAGCTAAAAGTAGAACTACCATTTGATGCAGCAATCCCATTACAAGGCATCTACCCAAAGGAAATACCACAGTTTACTTACCCACTCACCTACCAAAGAACATCTTGGTTACTTCCAAGGTTTTACGTTTATGAATAGAACTGCTATAACTATCTATGTGCAGATTTTTGTGTGGAAATTTTTCAATTTAATTTTTCAATTTAGGTAAATGCCAAAGAGTATGATTACTGAATTGTATGGTTTGAGTGACAAACTAGCTTTCAAAGTAGCTGTACCATTTTTCATTCTCACCAACAATGGAAGAGAGTTCCTCCTGATCCACATCTTTGCCAATTATGTGGTATTTTCAGTGTTTTGGATTTTGCCACGCTAATAGGTGTGTGGTGGTATCTCATTATTATTTTAACTTGAAGTTTTCTAGTGACATATGATGTTGAACATCATTTCATATTATTATTTACTGTCTATATATCTTCTTTGGTGAAGTATATGTTCATATCATTTTGCCCATTTGTTAATTATATTGTTTGTTTTCTTATTATTGAGCTTTAAGATTGTAACTTGCTTTTGATTTAGAATTGGTGAGATCTTAAGTAGATAACAAAATTTCTGTGGGAAAAATTAATGTATTAATACATAGTGACCTTTTCAGTACTGTCTATCAAACCTTACTCATATATGTGCTTACTATCCATTGGGAAATAGAGGGAAGCACCTCTAGCAGTATACAATTTCAAAATGTATTAGAGATTGCATCATTCAAAACTCATTGACAGTACTTCAGGAATAAAGTCAGGTCTTTCTGAAGAAAAAGTATAGGATATACTTGTTAAGGAAATATAACCATGTTTATTGGGCTACCTAAGAGGTTTAAGAAGAAGATTGTGTCCATTCAGGTCCTTTGAGAAGCAGATGCCAAAATGTTATATGTTGTTATCTGTCCCAGAAATTTATAGAGGAAAATTATTATAAAAGGTATAGAGAAGAAGCAGTAGGTAGGGAAGGATTTTAGACTGTGATGTAAATATGGCACCTAAGAAAGGAGAGGGGGAAGAAAAAGAAATTGGGTAAGAAAAGACAGACTGTTATGCAATTTTGAGTCTTGGAAAGCCAAAAGGAAGCTCTGGTACAAAGAATGCCCGTTAGTGAGTTCCAAGTTGGGAAGAAATGGCTGGGCCATAGTACCTTTGCTATATTCAGTCATTTTTGGAAATAGCATCACTTCAGCTCTAATGCTGTGAGCAATCCTTAAAGCATTGCAACTGGAGATCACCGGGTAACTTCACACCTTGTGGCAGGTTTCTTCTTGAAGGGATGTCTGCATTGCATTTTTCTTATTGCTGCCACAGTATATGGCTTGTACCAAGTGATCCATTTCTCCATCATGAGGAAAGTACTTCTTCCATGGTTCTCAATGGACTAGCTTCTCTGGAAGAGAAACTTAGAAAAGTTAGTGATACACAAAACAACTTGGTTGCACTCATCTTTTCTTATCTAACACCCTCCATTTTAAATCTCCTTCACTCTCATCTATTCCATTTTAAATCTCCTTCACTCTCATCTATTGTCTCTTCAAGTCTTTGTGATTCAACCTAATTCCTGAGGAATCTGTTACAATCTAAACTTTGAATTCAGATGTGATCCAATGTTTATTTCTGAAGAATCTGAGCACCTTGCATCTATATCCTTCTGAAGCCAGGGTTGCTGCATTTATCCATTCATAGTTACAACTGGAGGGAGAAAACCAAGAGCCTAAGTGAATTACTTGAGCTCCCCACATAATTTCCTTCCTCCAATTGTGTAACAGAAGCTCTATCTCTTCTTTTCAATCAGTTTCAGTGACCTCTGTATTGAAGGGAACCCCTCTGTTGATTAGCCTTTGTGCCAGACCTTCCTTTGGAATAGCCAGCACTGTCTTAGTGCTACATCACAATCATAGGCTTCCCTGCCCAATATTCTTTCTTTCCCTCTTTCATAGGTATCAGATCTGCATCATGGTCTCAAAGCTTTCTATTCTACTATGCTCCCTTCCCTCTTTATCTTTCACAGACATCATCCCCAATAAATGTCTGGCACTATTAACTATATCTTGGCATCTATTTTCCAGAGAACATAAACTGAAACAATAAGCACGTGTGGCAAACAGAGTAATTCTGTCTGAAAATTTCAGGGTTCCCATCTGTTGGTATAAAATAAATGTAAACTTTCTAATGTTATTTTTATTATCTTTCTTCACTGCTTTATAGTCAAGTGATTGGCAGTTTAAAAAACTATTAGATCAAAATGTGCCTAATTACTTTTCTTTGGAAGCATCAAAGAAAAAGGTCCTGAATATGTTCTGTCATGATTTGCAATCTCAAGAAGAGCAAATTAAATTAGTTATACAATGCAGCGCAAAGAAAAAGAAGGGGCCTTGGAGCCTGTGATTCCTTAAATATACGGTTTATGTATGTGTATATCTATCTATCTATATGTATGTATATAGAAATATGTGTATGTAGAAAAATACATATCTCTATGTTAATTTCTCTCCTTCCCTCTGATACATAACCTTTCTTCTATTAGTCTATTATCTCTACCTAACCTTTTCTATAATGCTAAAGAATGCTGAAAATTCTTTCATTTCTAAGCATATTTTTATTCATTCAGACTATAGCAATACCTTATAGTCACTTTTATTTCTATCTTAAAAGACAAATCTTGTTCCTGGTTATATAAATATATATTATAGGTTTATTTTTAATGCCTTAGTTTTTTCTTCATTCTTTACAAAAGGGTGCCAATTATATTCTCTGTTATGAGCCTGATATCAAATTTGTTGTTTTCAATTATAGAAAATATCTAATATCTCCAAAGTCATAGCTACCAAATAAGATATTTTCAGAGAACTCTAGTTTCTATTATTGTTCCTTGTCCCTTTCATGCTGCTTCCTTTTTCATAAATAGAATTTTTATTTTTTGGTTTTTAAACTAGCTTTACAAATTTTATGGAAGCAAATGCACTTTTAAATTTATTTATTTTTCTATTTTTTGTAGATAGTATAATATATTGTTTTTTCCCAATTTGCTCTTTAAATTTAACAATCTATCTTAAAGGTTTCTAAAATGAACTCTACATTGTTACAGGAAAAGAACGCTACAAAGAATAGTTCAGATAGTTTTTATTAAAGAAAAATACATGTTCTTATCTAAAATATTTTTATATGAAACGGTGTTCTTGTACTCGTCTGATAACATTTTAATATTATACTTGGGTCCCTCTATGAAGAAATAGCCAAATCAGAGGAAAGAACATACCTATAATAAAAACAAAGGCTAAATGGTAAAATACATCTGAGAAACTTAAATAAATAGAAAGGTATATATTGTTAACGAATTGAAAAACTCAATATAGTAAAGATGCCAATTTCCTCCAAATTGATGCATAAATTTAATGCACTTCCCATCAAAATCCCAGTAAGATATATTGAAGACATAGCCAAGATCACTTTAAAATTTATATGAAAAGTCACAGGCCTTGGAATAGTTAAAAATTTTGAAGAAAAATAAGGTGAAAGGAATTAATCTGATATCAAGGCTTAGTGTATAGGTATAGTAATCAAGATATGTTGGTATTTGCAGAGGAATGGACACATAGATCAATGGAACAGATAGAGTACCACTAAAATAGCTCCACACAAATATGCCCAACTGACTTTTGACGAAGTGCAAAAGAAATTCAGTGCATAAAGGACAGTCCTTTTATCACATAGAACCAGAGCAATCGAACAGGAATAGGAAAAGAATAACCTCAACCTAAACCTCACACTTTATACAAAACGGAACTGCATTACAAAGTTAATGTAAAATGTCAAACAATGAAACTTGAACAAAAACAGAAATGAATTATAATCAAATTATTTCTATAATCCCCTGAAGTAAACAATCCCAATTTGAATTAAAGATCATTGAGAGGATTATAAAATTAATATTTAGTTAAGAAAATTCAAAAGGTATGAAAAGCCATGGTTTAGGTAAGAAAAAATAAAAGTAAAGTAAATATTTTACATGCATTTGTAAAAGAAGTTCAGTGTAATTTAGCAAAGCAAGCATTATCCATTAAGAACACTTGGATATAATTTTATCTTAGTCAATACCAAATTATGTGAAAAATTGCCAAATGCCTAAATATTTAATAAATAAAAGTATTGAATACCATGTTGCACTTGTGTAGGCACAGAGTAATGAGCCCTTTTAAACAAATATCTCTAGTAAAGTTTGGAAATATAGCAATATCTCACTTTTAATTAAGTTTACTTTTATACAATATTGTCCTTTTTATTGATATTCTTTTGCAACACCAATATCAAAGAAATATAAGTGTTTAGCTAAGGGATCTATCTTATTTTATTTACTACCATAGAAATTCATTACTGCTATAAAAGGAAGAGAGGCAACAGTGCAAGTTATACTGAGTTCATTGAAGGATTTATCTAACCATTTGTTGATTGCTATCAACAAGATTATAACACTACAAACCTAGTGCTCATACCTACGCAGCATGACAAGCTTAGAAGAAACTTTTTCTTTTATTAAAAGATGCTCATAAAAATTTTCTGAGTTATTGCCCCTAAGAGACAATATCTAAACATATTTTGGAGTTTTTAAAACCATTACTGTGTATGGGTTTGAGATTTTATTTGTGTATTTATAATTGTTATATATTCTTATTTTTTTTATTTCAGCATATTATGGGGGTACAAATGTTTAGGTTATTTGTGTTGCCTTTCCTCCCCTTCCCCCTGGAGTCAGAGCTTCAAGCATGTCCATCCCCTAGATGGTCTACATCGCACTCATTATGTGTGTATATACTGATCCCCTCCTCCCCCCGCCATCTGCCTGATGCCCGATAAATGTTATTTCTATATGTCTACTTAGGTATTGATTAGTTAATACCAATTTGCTGGTGAGTACCTGGTCGTGCTACATATTTTTCTGTTTCTTGTATATTTTTAAAAATATTTCTTTATAAAACCCAGCTCCCCATAAATCATGAATTAAAATCAGAAAAATGGAAGAGTATGGTCCTCTGAAAATTTGCCCTTTGGGAAAAGCAATGATAAAACTGGCAAAAATTTTCATAATCAACTATTTCAAAACTCTGAAATTAACAAAAAGCTAGCAGCAATCTGGTGAACATTTATTCAAGAATAGGGGCTAAATCTTGTTAATAACAGTGAATTTTGTAGCATTTTATCTTGCCCTATTCTTCTCTGTTTTATAGCCCAATGGTGACCTTGAAAAATAACAGTCCTATATTCCCTATACTGAAGGAAGCAGAACTGAGGAGTTCTTTCAAAGCCTCATTCCCAAAGTTATTTGACTTGTCTGGTGGTTCCTTAAATGACCTGTCTTGAAAGACTTATCTTTATTTGATCTTACTCAAGGTTCACCCAGTGCTATAAACCTCTTCTTAGGAGATTTTGTCAAAAATATTCACTGACAAGTGATTTAACATTATGGCTTCCTGGAACAACAGATAGTAGTGAAAGCAAAGAAAATAATGAATTTGAAAGGCTCATTTCCTGGCATGGGAATGTAGCAGGCCAGGCCACATGCATGCTGATGGCTGTGCATTCATTCAAAAAAGATCTAATGAGGCCCCAAGCTCTCATATCTGGCTGGTGTTGAGGTTCTGCACAAGTAAGAAACGAAGGCTAAGACAGTGTAAACTGAATGGCTAAGAGTTTAAGTCATGTCCTGATACACACAAAGACCCTTTCTATAAAGATTGGGACATTTATTGGTTTCTGATATTTAAGAAAATCTCTGTCTAATCATTAGCTGACTACTGAGTTAGTAGAGCAGAGACTTTAATGGTCACATCTGACAGAAAAATGCAGACTTTTCAGAATTAGTTTGAAAAAGTCACTAAACAAACAAATAACTATAAAAAAGTAGTACCAACAATAAACCTTGGTTTGGGGGTAAAACCTGATTCCCAGAGCAGTCACATTATATTAATTTTATGTTGATTTTTTGAAAAAACATATGAGATATATAAAGATATATATGAGACATATAAAGATAAATATACAGGAGGGTTGGGGTGGGGAGAAGCAACCACTAGAAACTCTTCCTGAGGAAGCTCACACATTAAATTTATTGGGTAAAACTTTAAGTTGGCTTTTTTCATATTATGTAAGAACTAATTCAGAATATCTAAAAGCAGATAAAACCAAAAACAAATTGTGGAATTATAAAGTAAAATAACTAAAATGGGAAATTCACTGGGGGAACACAACAAAACAATGACGAAAAACTCTCATAAATTTGATGAAAAAATTCTCTATATGTTCAATAATCACAATGAACTGCAAGTAGGATAAATTCAAAGGGATCTAAACTTAGATACATTATAATCAAATTATCAGAAGACAAAGAAAAAT